TTTATAATCTAGAGCTTACATAACTCACCCAAACTCACTCAGCTACTCAGTGGCAGAGTCAAAACTGAACCCAGGTACTCTGACTCTAGACCTGGTATTCTCTGTAATACATTCCAGCTGCTTCCAGGCAACCAAAATCTCATAGCCTCCTGCCCGGTTCAGATACACAAGCGGCCAAAGTCTACTACTGTTCGTCAACGTCGTTCCACCCACAGCCTTCCAGCTGGTGGAGTTAAGACAGGTGAAAGGTGAGCTGGGACATTTGGCTAAACTTGGGGCCCAGTCTGAAGCCCCCTGCAAAGACAGAACAAATCTTGAGTGGTCATCATGAAGACTGCACCAAGAATAGCCTTCACCTTCCAGACCTCACTAAACTCATCTACCAGAATCTATTGTTGGTCCTCCTGAGGAAGTATTTTCAAAGGTTCCTGAGAGGGATCGCAAAATAATCTCTACAAGATAATCATATTCTCCAAGCTCCATTGTCATATACCAAACATAGAAAGCCCTCTCTGTATTCCATGAAAGACCCAATAGGCTCTTAGAAGAAGTTTGTATCAAGTTGAGAAAGGGCAGGCAGGCTGGCAGAAATTTCTCTTATCCACAGATGACCCAATGAGACCCAGCCCTCAAGATTGTTTGTGGTGTGTCCATGACACAGAGTGAGGGGGAAGTGACAAAAGATGTAATTTTATGGTCAGCACAATCACAACAACTTCAAAAAAAAAGTGGGCATCTAGATGAGGTCAGACGAAAGTAAAAATAAGCAGCTATGGTAAAATAATGGGGTTAATGAGGAGGTGTCTAAAAATACTATGATAAGCATTTAGGTTCCTTTTTATTTTTTGGCTTTGTTTTCCTCAGAAAACATGTTTTAAATAAATAGGTAGATACTCTAAATAATGATGAAGATGCTTCTAAGAAAGACAGAGAAGGAGGCTCTAAGGGTCAGGGTGTGCAGGAAGATAGGAAGCGGAGAGATAATGTGCATCCAATGAACCAGAACAAAGCGCCCAGCCCACAAAACAAACCGAAGACAGAGTGTGGTTAGGTGCTAGCGAAATGAATTTTCAAAGGAGTATTTTACAGGGTGTCTCTTTCAAAACAAGACCAATTAACCCCCCTGGAGCCTCCTTAAATGGGCCACTCTGTCTGACCCTGTTGCAAGGTCTGGTTACTCCAGATTCAGGCTGAGGACCTCTGAGAACACCAAGTTTCCAGGGGGGCTGTCCAGCAGCCGAGCAGGCCATGCTCTCCTTCGGCTTGCGTCTCGGTTCTCCTCTAGGAGATGGGAGTCCATCTCTGGCCGATAATCGCTGGGCAGCCAGTCAAGCAAGCTGATCAGCACCCTGCAAACGGAGTGGGCTCCTCTGGGTGCCCGAATGTTTTCAGCGGGCTACTCTGGTGTCCTACAGAAGACAGCATCAGAGCACCCCGTGGCCACGTGCTTTGGTCCACTTGCACACCCCCACCCACCTCGGATGCCCGAGGCACACTGATAGAGATGAGACGTTGTCACGCGAGCAGACGCTGACACCCTTAATGAAGACTCCAGGAATCTGGGCATCGTACCTCCCCCCGGGGATATCCCTTCAGCCAAGTTCAGAAGACCTAAGGAAGGGCTCCCGCTGACCTTCTTGCCTGTGTCATCCTTACCAGGGTATCCCCCAGCCCTTCTCAGCTGCCGCAGACTCAAGCAACACCTGCTGACTGCTAGGCTTACCTGCCTTCTCCCAGCATCAGAATCTGAAGGTGGAAACAGATCTTAAAAATAATCAGGTTCAAATGCCTTTGTCTGGAGGAAGGAACTAAAGCCCAGAGAGGTGGGGTGTGCCGCCCGGGGCACCCGGCTTTGCCAGGACTAGAAAACCAGGTCTCCTGACTGCCACTCCCATCATTCCAAAATGTAAGTCTGAAATTCTCTGGGGGAAGATTCTTGAAGAATTTTTTTTTTCTTCCCCTCTGCAGCCCGATACATTTTTTATCAAATAACTCTAAGGGATCCATGGAAATTTCTACTCTAGCACCTCTCAGCTTCCTGACATCAATGCCATTTGGCTTAAACATATGCCTTACCCTAATATTAGCTGCTGTGGGAGCCAATATCTCCACTGCATTATTTGTTCCCTGCACACCCCAGTAACTTGGTCTTTCAAAACCCCATCAAACTGAAACAAACACGATAGTCACTTATGTCTAGCGAGAGCCCAGTCACCTGCATCTTAAAACAGATCATGTTATTTAAAATCATATTACTAAAAATAAGACAAGAAAACACTAAATAAAATTTATTATCGTCCTCATCTCTTCCATCGTTCGGCAACAGGTTTAAGACAACACTGGCAAGATTGTGCTTGCCATCCTCCCTCTGTCTTCAGAGGGCAACTCCCTACCACAGACTCAGTTTACTCAAGCTGAAAGCCTCGACGCGGCATCAGTTACCCGGTAACAAACCAGGGTGGCAACGCGCACTCTCTAAACACAGAGCCCACAGTGGACTCCATGCCTCCCGACCAGAGCCCCACCCAAGCAGAAATGACTATCACTTCAGTTTTACCAGAAAGAGATCTCAAACTAGGGAAATGGGCTGAAACAGCCACCAAAAGGTGTCACTGATATCAAGTTCCAAGTTCACATTTGGTTTCCTACAACCGTGGCGTTACTCCTCAAATGTGTTAGCCGGCTCTGCCGTGACTTTCTTGGTATCCACCCCACCCCACCGTCCAGGGTTCTCTGAAAATCACATCTGTTGGAAAGGGGGGTAGAGAGGCCTCCACCTGGAGAAAGGGGAACAGAGTGGAGGGCTTCCAAATGATTTGTTTAACCTTTTCTGCCTGTGCCTGATGCTTTGGCGTTGAGCAGAGGCGGTCTAAAGCATACAGCCCAGGGCTAAAATTCCCTAATTTGTGGAGCAGGGGGAGAATGAGGAGAACATAAAACATTACAAGAGTCCAGAAAGCTAAATTCTACTTTCTAGAAGTGAACTTTGGCCCAAAGCACTCACATTCTAACCCAATCTGAGTTTCTTCCACTTTCCAATTAGCTAATTGAATACAGTTGAGTAAATATTTTAACCTCTCAATTTCCTTTTTGTCTCAACGTCTCAAGGGTCAAAAAGATATTGAAAGAGGTAATTTAATGGGAGCCAAAAGGGCATGGAACCATTAAGTGTGAATGTAGGGCTTCTCAGAGGTCCAGAAAGATCCAAGACATTTCCATTTGGGGGAGCTCACAATATATTAAAAAATGGAGAAAAACGATCAAAAACTTGTTGTTTTTGAATTTAACAAACAGATGCTTTCTAACACGAAAGGACAAAATAGAATTGAATTTGTGATCTTCCGTACATACAAGGCCTGAATCAAATTCCTTGCTCTGCCCACAGTCATTCTAGAAGGGGCCTAATGCCGCCATCCTGAACAGCAATGCAAGAGAACCTACAGCAGTCATGCCCTCCAAGTTATTTTCTTTTAAAACACTTCTATAAAATACTTCGAAACGCGAAGAAGGATTGTCTCCATTATATTTGTTATTTTTTCCATTGTGATCACAGACTTCCCAGGGACCCTCATTTCAGGTTCCCATGGTTTTTCACATCCATCCACACCAGTCATCAGCAGTTGGTGTAGAAATGACAGGTCCTACGCCACGCTGGATTATAAGAACACAGAATGGATGACTTATTTCATAGTCTCAGAATGCTTGATCTCCAAAAGAGGACAAGTGAAACCTTCTGTCAACTTCAAATACAGCTGTTAAAATTACTCTTGAAATCTCTGAAGAGCCTTTTTCTGGTGGGACGTCTTACCCATGAAGTGCTTCCTAATGACTTCATCTTCCCTATTGGACATCAACACGTCCCTTGACCTCCATGGCATGAACGCATGGCCACCTGTGGTCCTTGTCTACCCTTTTACACACTGAAAGTCTCTATCTGAAGACATCTTCACACCCATGCCTGCAGAACCAATTCCTGAATTAGTCCTCCATGGAAAAGTTCTCAATCCAAAATCCCCCACTTTCTCCCTGTGACTAAGGTCAGCGCAGATGACTAGCAGAGACACCTATGAACATAGATGCACGGGGTCTCCCAGTTCATCTTAGAAAGACACATCCTTCCACAACACTCAAAGGCAGGCAGTGAAAATGTTACTTTCCTGACTCGATGTTGTTATTTACTCCCAATGTAAGTCCACACTGTTCCCAGTCCTACCCACATTGAGACCAACGACGTTTCTCTTTGGTGGTCAAACAAATGAAAAGAGTCCCTGTCTTGGAAGGCATTTGGTGCTGCTGACTCACGTCTGCCTGTCCGGTCTTAGTAGCCCATGATGGCACAAACGAAGGGTTAGTCTGTCCCCTTGCAATGTGGCAAAATCCTTTGCCATTTTTTCTGGAAAGAGCCATTTTTAAGTGTTCAGCTCTCCCCAGGGTCCTCGCCTCCTTGGGCTGCCTGACCACTTTTTCCCGTGTGAGTGCATATGCCACCACCCGTTTCCAGCCATTTTCCAACAACAGATTACACCAAAGACAAACCTGCCTTTCTCTCTGACCGATGAGTCAGGAAAACTACCAAGAGAAGACAGACGTCTCTAGAAAGTGAGAACGTGTGCTCTGAGCCCCAATGGCTATTCAGCCAACCCCGTGTTTCACTGAGTTATCTCACGGTCATCTATCCCTGTTTGTTTCAGAACTCAACCCAGGGACATGGCTTTGCCACGCAGAGAAAGGGAAACCAGGGAACTCTTTAAATTCGTGGTGGTTGGAAGTCCAGACTCAATGCAGCAAATTCACACATAATATCCGAAGAAGCCCAGCTGCCTCCCAAAATAAGACTCTAACCGGCCCCAGTGAGGTAAGCACAGGTGAGGTGAGCTGCACTTCCTGCCAGCTGCCTCCGGGAGCCTGTTTTATTTTCATCTGATTCAAGGCAGGCTGCCCTTTCCACTCAGGTGTTTGAATTCCAGGTTCCAAAGAAGGTTTAAAAATAAAAGACTTACCTCATTTACCTAAAGATTCTGGGTGGGAAATCCAATAGCTGTGGCTAATGGAGGGGAGGCAGCAGGCAGCCCGCACGCCAGCTCCCACGGGGACAGGGAACCACGGGTGTTATCACGTCTGAGCCCTCATCAGAGTGAAGATAAATGCATATGACAATAATTTTAAATCATTTTGTAGGATGTTAAGCAATAAGCCACCAACCGGGAATTCCCTAAGTCACTTCCCCCTCTTCTGATTGGCTGCCGGGCTCTTTAAAAAAATAAAATAAAGGATTACAAACATTGGCTCATTTGCATTTGGCCAACTCACACGTTAGTGTTCAAACAAAACAGGTCTAACCAGGTTATGCCTGTGTCTCAAGAACAGAGAGACGACCTGTTAATGGATGAGGAATTGATTTGGTGGTGACTGTTCTTTTCAGCTTAGAGACTGTTTCGGGTGAAAAGCGCCGTGCTAGCCCCCCAAAGACACCATCTCCCCCAAGACACGTAGAAGCGAACTAAGCAGAGGTTCAAACATGGAGGATATGATGGTACTGGGGAGTGGGGACCCTCTTAAACACCTGTCTCGTGTACTAATCTGTATTTAGTCGACTCTGCTTTGGTATTAAGACCCGCGCCCTGGCCGTGCAGGTACCAGGGTCTGATGGGGCTCTCCCCAGGCGCCATGATGGCGTCTTTGACAGAGACACTTGGCAACGTCGATGGACTTGGAAAAGTCACTCTCCCCCCGACCCCAGCTCCAGATAAGAGCTTTGGGAAATCTGAAGGAAGAGTCCTGAGAGGGAGGGCCCATTCTGAGCTGTTCAGGCAGAACAGTCAACCCTCAAGGGCTGACGATCCAGTTGGAGGATCACCCAACTTCTTTATCCCTTCTTGACACTTACATGGTTTTTTTTACGTTGACACTCCCTGTAGGAAGGAACTAGAGAGAAAAAGAGCTGAAACTGGAAATAAAACAATATAGTGTGGACAATGGGGCACCTGGGTGGCTCAGTGGGTTAAAGCCTCTGCCTTTGGCTCAGGTCATGATCCCAGGGTCCTGGGATCGAGCCCTGCATCGGGCTCTCTGCTCAGTGGGGAACCTATTTCCCCCCACCCCCCCGCTCTCTCTCTGCCTGCCTCTCTGCCTACTGGTGATCTCTGTCTATCAAATTAATAAATTTAAAAAAAATCTTTAAAGAAAAGAAAACAGTGTAGATAAGAACTATACAGTCCTAGTCTCTACAAGGGGGTATCCTGGAGCGGATCCATGAATTTCAAGTGCCCTGGCAACCCCCATTCCCCTGGGCCAAGGGCCTGCTTCACTGGGTCACAAATGCATTCCCGCCACGTAGGTGAGTGACGGCTGCTGGTGAGGAAAAATACCACCCCCTAACCATTAACTTTCTCTCTTGGGCCTTCCTGGACACTGGCCTGACATGAGCCAAAGGTCCGTGCAGACTTCTTTAACTCATCAGAACTCCCCTTTGTGGGAAAGAAAAGGGAAATTGAGTTTTGGCAAAGAAACAAAGATTTTGTGATCAAAACCAAGAAGTTCCTTGTATAAAAAAGAAAGCGTGTATGTGGGCAAAGACTGCATAGAACAAGAAGTGTTTGTGCTTCAGGTGAAATGGTGAGGGGAAGCAACGTTCCCTCCTTGCCTGTGTTCCTACTTTATGTAATCTGAATGCAGAGATTTGGGAATGTGTGAAAAACTTGGTGCGAGAGCAGGGGTGCATTGGGGAGGGTCTTGGAACTCAGGCAGGTCTCGGAGGTTTGGAAGGTTTGGGGAGTGCAATTTAGGCAGCCCTGAAAAACCCCTTTGCCTCCTAGCCTCCACCAAACATCGCCACCCTCCCCTGTTGTCCACCTGTGTGTTTCCCAAGGGCCCTGTTAAAATGCAAATGTCTGATAAAAACAGTAAATGTCATTACTGCGCATTATCACATTAGCCCCAATTAGTCTATCAGCTCCAGATCTGAGAGCAGAGCCCTGAGGGAACAGACTGGTGATGTTTAGCTTGAGAGATGAATCAGGAGTAATCTCAAGGAGCACCTCCACCCACGGGGGAGTACTTGCGCGTGCGCTTGTGTGTGCGTGTGTGCACACGCGTGCACATGTGTGTGAGGGTGTGTGTGTGTGTGTGTGTGTGTGTGTGTGTTGGGGGCAGGGTGCTGTGGGCTGTTATTAGTGCCAGTGTGACTCCAGGAAGTGAACTTGGCCTTCTTTACGATTTTGCTTGAGATAAACCTGAGACCACGGTGGGGCAGGTGGCAGCGAGGGGCTGTGTGGTCAAGAGGGTACACTTTAAAGACAATCCCAAAAATGGTGTGGCTCACTGGTCCAGGTCCAACCACTTAAAATTTACAGTCCCTTTCACTCCTAGCTGAAGAGTTCCGAGTACATCTGCATTCCTTTATTCACTCTTCTCCTGTATTTTCCATCAAAGGACTACTCCCATAAGGCAGTCCCCAGAAGAGCCATTTGGAGATGGTGGCAGTGGAAGGGGATGGAAAGATGTTACCTCATACTCACCAGCTATTCTATTTGTGGTGTCTTCATGTATATAAAGTACCTAGCGATGTATCTAGTACTGGGTTCTTGTCAAGTATTGGTTCTTTTCTTTACCTGGATCTTAGCTGAACCTCCTAGAAGAAGGACAAAACAATACTTCCTCTCCCTCTACCCCCACCCAAAAAACACTCAACCTGGATTTTTTTTTTTTGGCATGTTAAATCCATAGAGAAATTTCTTCAGAGTATAAGGTCTTTCACCCTACCTATGGTCAATTTCAACAAGAAAGCACTTGCATCAAATTAGATGATTGACTGATAGATGATAGATCAATAGACAGATTGATAGAGAAAAAATGGGTGGAAGTCCTGATTTTTCACTGAGAATGCTACAAGTTGGATTTAGGGCTGAGACCTTCTGTTGCAAGAGTCTTAAAATACATCAAGCAGTTTCTCCTGCATATGAAATTTACAAGTGTAACCACAAAAACATCAAGTGCACCGGAGCCTTTACACAGATACGTCCTTTGTTTTCTAAAAGTCATAACCTTCTTGAGGAGGAATCAGGCAAGGTTCTCGTTATCATGTCAGACCTCCAATCCTGACACAGATGCCTTTCATTCTGTGCTCCCAGGACCAGGGAGGGGGTGCAGGGAGAGATTGAAGAAGACACAGGAATGTGAACAGAGTGCTGAGACAGAGCCAAATGCCTGAGCTTTACAGATGGGAAGTCTTAAGAGAGAGGAAGAAAATGCAGGTTGCTCTCAGGTCAAGATCCAGATAATACTGGGATCGGGAACCAGCTCTACAAACCCAGTTACTCTTCCTGGTCTTCCCTGCAGACCCAAGACCCCACCTCCCTGTCCCAGTTCTGCACAAAGACACTTGAATCAGGTCCTGATGCTGGTTCCCACAGAAGAAAAGGAAGGTAGAGCACACCAGACCAGGCAGTAGGCAATAGTCCGGGACCCTGAGTTCAGTTGGGTTGTCTACTAGGATACTCCCCTTTTCTAGTAGACATAGAACCAAAGAACCCCAGGAGACCTTACTTCCTAAATCAAGGCCAAGATAAAGAATCTCTCCAAGCCAAGTATAAAGCCCTAAGGGGTCTGAATCTTAATACCAACACAGACTGTGGTTACAAGGTTAATGAGAGTTCCATGCTTGCTTTGCGAGAAAGAGGATGCTTGCTTACTTTACAAAGCACCTTTTAACTAGAGGCCCTATATTTATTTTTGAAGGCAAGTGTGTGTTTGTGTATATTTCTGTCTATCATCCCCTCTTCGTGACATGGAGTTACCTCCAGGGCAGAACCTGACAACTGTGTAGTGAGAGCCACACGAGAACATCACTGTAGGACAGACAGCAATGAGAAGTTCTTGTCTATGGTGGAAGGAAGGTTACATAGAGCAGAACATGATCACCAATTATGCTGGCTAGAGTCAAATAAAGAACTAGGATTCATAAATAACGTCTTGCCTCTTAGCCTACTCCCCTCTAAAAGCCATGTTCCCCAAATCCTTACATTTTGACTTAGATTAGATTCCCAGGAATCTTTGAATGCCCCAAGGAGAAGTTTCATGGGCTCCGAAGGTTCTGTCTAGGAGGTCTGACACTGACAATTGTCCTAACAGATTTGCATGGCACCTCTCTGATCATGCCTTTTGCCATCACTTCTGTGCCTACAAGCTGAGCAAATCTTCCACCAATGGCACATACCACTGAGCCTCTGAGGTGGGGGACAACCCTAGTGCTAGAGAGGGACAGGGTGGCTTACCCCATCTGGAAAGGATGACCCATTTCCCACAGGCATGTATGCACACACACACACACACACACACACATAGCTCCCCTTTGGGCCCCGGAGTAAATCGCCAGTCTCAACCATGCACAGACTAGAGTTTTCAGAACTCCCCCTTCATATTTAATTATTCTCAACATACCCATTCTTGCCTGACTTAAATCACCCTGCTCTGTTCCTTCACCTGCGAGGTATCGTGCTCTTTCTTACCTTATTTTTCCTCGCAAACAGCTCTACGCTCAGTGCCAACTTCACTGCTGAGATAAGCACTTCTCCAACCCAACAGCTTTGAGTGTTGAAACAGTACGCCCGTCAGCGACTCCGAGAAGGCATATTTCTCATTCTCAGAGCAGGTGGGGAGACGAGGCAAAAGTTGGCCACTTCCAGGCAACCTGCTTGCAGCCAGTATTTTCTTCTTTTTTGTTTGGGGGGACTTCTTATAATTATAGCCGATGTTTTATATTGTTTTAGCATAAGAACCCATGTACCACTCTCATGGAGCCCCCAGACAGAAAATGGAATGAAGACATGCTGCTGTGTGTGGATTGGGGGGGACACAGCTGGCCTCTCCCCTAATCTATTGCCCTTCCTGGCTTCCCCTGGCAGCACACAGCTCTCTGCAAGATGGTCCTTCTGACTCTGTTCCTTGCTCTAAGCCGACGGAGCCTCAGAATCACCTTCACAACTTCAGAGGCTCTCTCTCCACGCCCACCAGAGTGACACCTGCGGGGCTGGGTGACAGCAGAGACAATAAGCAATTTTTTGTTCATTATGATCTATTTATATTTTGTGAGCTCCCGTATTATTCCATTCATGATAAATCAGAAGACTGGGTTCCTACCATCTAAAAGGACATTTTAATGGACCTTGGGTGAGGGTCTCCCTGCTTGGTCTCTTTTACCCA